TGTTTAGTCTAACTTCTTTTAAACAAATTTTCCTACAGTGGTTGCACAGGAACAGGTGCACCCATCCAGATGGGTTGTGAAAATCTCCAGAGGAGACTCCACAACCTCTCTGGGCAGCCTGTTCCAGTGCTCTGTCACCCTCACAGTGAAGTTCTTCCTCATGTTTGTATGGAAATTCCTGTGTTCCCACATCTGCCTGTTCCCCCTTGTTCAGTTGCTGCACACCTGGCCTCATTCACTTGAATCTGGCACTTCAGATATTTATAAACAATGATGAGATCTCCTCTGTCTTCTCTTTTCCAGGCTGAAGAGTCCCAGGGCTCCCAGCCTTTTCTCATACAGGAGATGCTCCAGGATCTGACCATCTTTGTGGCCCTCCACTGGACTCCCTCTAGGAGATCCCTGTCTTTTTTGAACTGTGGAGCCCAGAAGTGGACACAGTGCTCCAGATGTGGCCTCACCAGGGCAGAGTGAAGGGAGAAGATCACCTCCCTCACCCTGCTGGCCATGCTCTCTGCAGCACATCTCAAGGTACCATTGGCCCACTGGCCTTCTTGACCACAGGAGCACACTGCTGGCTCACGGCCAACTTGTGGTCAACTGTTGGTCAACCAGGACACTACTGACCTTCTCAGACCAGGCCTTCCCACACCGGGACTCCTAAGTCCTCCCTGTGGGTGCAGCACTGGACACTGCCACCAGACTCACCACTCCTCTCCAATCCTGTAGACGTAGACAATGTTGTCTGTTTGGCCAATGGCGATTTTGGTGGAGTCCGGGGAGAACGCCATGCCTTTCACCACGTAGCTCTTCCTGCCGTACTGTGGGCAGAGGGCAGACTGAGCCCGAGAGGAAGGCCACCACGTCCCATCCACACAGCCCACAGCCACGGGCAACAGCCCGGGCCCGGTACCCTCACCTTGGCATCGGCAGGCTTGGTGGAGAACTTGTCACGCCGCTCACCGTGCTCGTCGTACAGCAGCACCACACGCTCCGCGGTGCACACGGCGAAGCGGCCGCTGTTGGCCGACCAGGCCATGCAGGTCACACGCGCGGTGCCGTCCTGCGGGACACACACAGCTTCAGCGCCAACACAGCTCGGATTCTCCCCGGCTCCCCCCGACCCGAAACGACCCGACTCGACCTGCGGGGCCAGCAGGGTCCGCACGTGCCGCAGCTGCATGATGAGGGACTGAGAGCGATAGCAGCACCGGATCGCACCGCCGCCGTACCCCGCTACAACCCACACCCGTTGCCTAGCAACCGCTGAGCCGGCACCACTGATGACGTCATTAACGCGCGCGTCTGTACTATACAACGCCCCGCCCCCTTCCTGTTTCGGCATCTCCACTTCCGGTCCCGCCCCGTCCCAGTTCCGGCAGTTCTCAGCCTCGGCGGGGCCATGGAGGCGCTGCGGGCGGCGGGTCGCGCTGTGCTGCGGAGTCCGCGTCTCGCCCGGCACGGCCTGGGGCTCTGTCGGCGGCGCAGTGAGTGCGGGCCGGGAGCGGAGGGGAACCGAGGGTCGGTACAGGGCCGTGGGGCGGGAAGCATTGGTCTGGGCCCGGCTGGCCCTGGGACAAAATGAGGTCCGTGGGCCCGGAGCCGGGCTGTGGCTGGGGGTGGGCTGCGGCCTCTGTGCGGCTGAAGTGGTGCTTAGAGCTTGGAGCCAGGTCCTGGGTGCCCCGTCCCTGGAGGTGTTCAAGGCCAGGTTGGATGGGGCCCTGGGCAGCCTGGGCTGGTATGAAATGGGGAGGTTGGTGGCCCTGTGTGTGGCAGGGGGTTGGAACTTCATGATCCTTGAGGTCCCTTCCAACCCTGGCCATTCTGTGATTCTGTGGCATGGCCCGGAGGAGGGCTCCCTGGTAGCTGCAGCCTTATGTGCTATGCGGATGAGGTCGTCTGATTTCCCCGTGGATTCAGGATGCTTCAATTATGGGTCAGAGCTTTCTATAAGCATAGCAGTAACGTTCTGGGAGTTAATCCCAGGAAAGAGGTGAAAAATAACCCTGAGAAGCATTATTTGAGTGTGAATGGCAGATGCATAGGTAATTCCCAGGGAGGGATTTCAATCTAGTGCTTCTAATGGTGTATAGAATCCAGAGAATCACAGAATGGCCTGTGTTAAAAAGGCCCACGAAGCTCATCCAGTTCCAACCCCCTGCTGTGTGCAGGTCACCAACCAGCAGCCCAGGCTGCCCAGAGCCACATCCAGCCTGGCCTTGAATGCCTACAGGGATGGGGCATCCACAGCCTCCTTGGGCAACCTGTTCCAGTGCCTCACCACCCTCTGGGTGAGAAACTTACTCCTAATATCTAACCTAAACCTCCGCTGTTTCAGTTTAAAACCATTCCCCCTTGTCCTATCACTATCCACCCTCATAAACAGCCGTTCCCCTTCCTGTTTATATGCTTTAATTCTTTGGTCCTTGTCACTCCTCCTGTATGGGTGAATCCAGACCAACTGACTCCCAGTACCTCAACCCTTCTCCTCCTATGCAACACAGGTGAGGCTGTACCTTGAGTGTTGTGTTCAGTTTTGGGCTCCTCACTACAAGAAAGACATTGAGGCCCTGGAACACTTAGAGAGAATGGCAGTGAAACTGTGAGGGGTGTGGAGCACAAGCGTTATGGGGAGCAGCTGAGGAGGAGGCTCAAGAGAGATTTCGTGCTTCTCTGTGTCTGAAAAGATGTAATGAGGTGGGGATTGACTTCTTCTCCTAGGTAACTGCTATATAACAAGAGGTGATCGCCTCGTATTGTGCCAGGGAAGGTTCAGGTTAGGTGTTAGGAAACATTTCTTCTCAGAAGGAGCAGTGCTGCAGTGGCACAGCTGCCCAGGGAGGTGGAGGGGTCACCAAACCTGGAGGTGTTCCAGAAGAGGGTAGATGTGGCAATGAGGGACGTGGTCAGTGGGCATGGTGGGGTGGGTTGGATGAGTGGACTAGATGGTCTTAGACGTCTTTTCCAGCCTCGGTGATTCTGTGATGATTCTGCAATCTTCTCTGTCACCATCCTTCTGCTCTCTGAGATTTGAGGAGGTAAATGTGTACTCAATTCTGCTTCAACTGTCCTTGAAAAGCATCCCCAGAGGAAGTACTTGGTATGAAAGAAGTGTTCCTTTGTGCATGGCGCTGATCTCATAAACAGTTTTTGATGAGACTGAGCTTTTTGTTGGCTTTATCTGGTAGGAGCAGAGCTTGTAATGGATGCTTTTACAGTGCTTGTTTTTTGTGTCCTCTCTTAGTAACAGTGGTGCAAGGGCTCCTTCTACCAGCACTTGCAGAATGTGAAGTAAATCAGTTTCTGAAGGAAGCTGAACGTGCTGAGGGCCCTCTGTAGGGAATCTGAGGAGATTGAGGAGGTTAATTGTCTACCTCTGCTCTCTTGAGACCCCACCAACAGTGCTGAGAACCCCAACATAAGGAAGATGTGGACCTGTTGGGGTGGGTTCATAGAACACCATGGGGATGCTCAGGGGGCTGGAACACCTCCCTGTGAGAACAGGCTGAGAGCTGGGGTGTTCAGCCTGGAGAAGAGAAGGCTTAAGGTAGACCTCTTTGTTGCCTTTCTGTACCTGGAGGCCTATGGGACAGCTGAGGAGGGACTCTTTTAGTGAAGCACTGGCACAGGTTGCCCAAAGAGGTGGTGGAAGTCCCTGCAGACACCCAAGGTCAGGTTGGATGGGGCTCTGAGCACCTGGTGTCCCTGTTCAGTGCAGAGAGTTGGGCTAGATAACCTTAAAAGGTCCCTTCAAGCTCAAACAGTTCTACGATCCTTTGTCAGAGGATGCAGTGACAGGGGGTAACAGCCTTAAACTAAAAAGGGAGATTTAGATTAGACATTAGGAAGAAATTCCTCACTAATGAGAGTAGTGTTTGAACAGATGCTCTTTGTCCTTTATTTTTTTAATGGACTTAATATATAGATAGATATATAAATAGATTTAATAGTAAAGCACATGGAGTTCTCTTCCCTCTGCTCGTTGGAATTCATCCATAAAGCACATTCTTCTGGAAGCTAGCTTGCACTCTTTAAATGCCAGTCTGAGCTGTTCTGTAACACAAAGCCTATAGGATGATTGCTTCCCAGTCACCTCTGCTTCAGCTGTGAGTGCTGGCCATTCTGCCCCTTTCCTGGCTGCTGCTGCTGCAGATAACAGCAGGTAATAGTTTGGCTTTGCTTGCAATGAGGCAGCTTGCGGATTTTGATCGGAGTGGGGCAGCAAATACTGCTGTTCTTGTGGTGTGGCAGCACCTGAAGTGGATGAGGTGAATGCAGTACACAGCACGTGCTGCTTGCAGTGAAGGAGCTCAGGCCTGGAAATGTTAGGTTCTGATGGATAGCACTGAACACTGCAGATCTGAGGCCATGTGAAGATATACAGAAGCTTACTGTCTTGGCTGGCAGAGCTGCTACCTCCAGGGCTAAGGGCTTCGAGGTTGAACTCTCACAGAATCACAGAATCACCCGGGTTGGAAGGGACCCCAAGGATCATGTAGTTCCAACCCCCCTGCCTAGCAGGGCCACCAAACATACACATTCAGATCAGGTTGCCCAGGACCCCGTCCAACCTGGCCTTAAACACGTCCAAGGACGGGGCATCCACAACCTCCCTGGGCAGCCCGTTCCAGGGCCTAACCACTCTCCTAGTAAAGAACTTCCCCCTAACATCCAACCTAAATCTTCCCTCCTTCAACTTAAAACCATTTCCCCTAGTCCTGCTGTTATCAGCCCTTTTGAAGAGTTTACTCCCCTCCTGGGTGTAGGTTCCCTTCAGGTATTGATAGGCTGCAATGAGGTCACCCCGCAGCCTTCTCTTCTCCAGGCTGAACAAGCCCAACTCCCTCAGCCTGTCCTCATAGGGGAGGTGCTCCAGCCCCCTGATCATCTTAGTCGCCCTCCTCTGGACCCTTTCCAAAATCTCAATGTCTTTCTTGTACTGAGGGCTCCACACCTGGACACAGTACTCCAGATGGAGCCTCACAAGAGCCGAGTAGAGAGGGACAATCACCTCCCTGTCCCTGCTGGCCACCCCTCTCCTGATGGAGCCCAGGATCCCATTTGCCTTTCGAACTCTCCTTTCATTGTGTTCTTCCAAGATTGTCACAGAACCAGGAGAGTGCGGTGGTGAGTGCATGTAGCAGCACTGCTGCTGGGAGCACTGAAGCTGCAGTGAGGTGAGGTGGCTCTGCTGGGACTAGCCACAGGGCAGCTGGTACATGGCTTCTGCTGCTAAATCATTTTGTCTTCACAGAGCTTCCTGAGAGCTGGGCTGACATGCAGGAACCACTGCTGGAGGGGATGTGCTTCACTCTGAAGTATCTAGGCATGACACTGGTAGAGAAACCCAAAGGAGAGGACATGGCAGCTGCTGCCATCCGCCGGATCGTTGCCACGGTGAGAGCCAGCTCTGTGCTGGGGTAGAGAAGAGCCAGTTTGGAGCTGGCAAGTAGACTTGGGAGGCATCGACATGACAGTCCTTAGCTCTACCTAGGGACTGTGCTGTTCCCAAGAGGAGGGTGGCTTGCAAGTGACAGGCTGATCTCTACCTCTGGAGGAAGCTGTTTTTCTGCAGGACAACCACTGTTGCTTGCTTCCACACAGCTGGGAGCAGAACTTTGTCCCTCTCTTCACAGAGAGGAGGGGGAGAACTGGGGAGGGTGGGGTCCATCCTTTCATGGCAGTAGCATGAAGGGACTCCTGGGGTGTCCTACACAGGATGTGCCTATTCTCCAGGCTCTTCCCTTTAGCAGGAGCCTCTGCAGCATGGATCCAAGTGAGTGACATTCTGTACAGAACCTGGGGGGTGGCTGGCAGCAGGGTGGGGTTGAGGACCCTCAGTGGCTCTTCAAAGATGTCTGGTGTGTCTCCACTGCCAGGCACGGGTGGGAGCTCGCAAGTTCCAGAAGGTGATTCTGACAGTGTCTCCAAGGGGCATCTCACTGCAGGACGCCGACACGAAGGAGATGGTTGAGAACATCTCCATCTACAGGTGGGCACAGCATGCAGGAGGACCTGGGTAAGGGAGGTGATCCTAGATGATTCCATGATTCTGAGTGATCCCGAGCAACCAGTGGGATCTTGAGCAGCAGGGGCGAGCTGGGCCTTGTGCTGGCCCCCACAGCACTGCCTGGGTCTGAATGCATGCAGGGACTTGGGCAACTCTGTGTTCTTTGTCAGTATCTGGCCTTTTCTGTGGACTCTGCTTGTCTCTTCTCCATCCTGTGTTCAGCAGATTGGGGCTGATGGATAGAAGCAACTAGGGCAAGACTGCATGCCTACCTTTTTTTGCTGATGAAGGACCACCCTTCTGCCTTCTGGCTGCAGTGGCCTCATTGTGCCTTGGCCTGCAGCTCACTTGAGCTGACTAAAGACTGTTTAAAGAGCTGTTTTCCTGTTTGTTTGTTCCCTCCTTACTGCTGTCAGTTGTACTTTAGCTGTGTGTTTGTGGGAAAGTAGCATAGCTGAATGCTGATTGCTAGATGAGAAGCAGAGTCAGGATGTGTCCTTGGTGCAAAAGTTGGGACTCGGCACAAGAGTTGATACACCAAAGCAGAGCATCCTACTGCCTGGCCTCCAGCTGTGCTCTTGCTTATCTATGCACCTTTTGGTTCAGTGCTTGAGTTCACACCTGGGCTTGAATAAGGCATCAGAAGACCAAAGAGCACACTGAGCAGCACAAGTTGGGATACCTGTGGATGTAGCGATCTCTTACTAGCTCTGGAGAGCTGGGCTGCTGGTTATCCAGGGCAGGTGAAAGTCTTGGGCTGTCTCTCCTGTTTGTTGGTGTGCTGAGAGCACAGCAGACCTGTGCTGGGTTTCCCTGTTGCTCTGAGCAGCTCCTCTCTGCCCATAGGATCTCCTACTGCACAACAGACAAGCTGCAAAACAAAGTCTTTGCTTATGTTGCTCAGAGCCAGGAGAGCGGGGCGCTGGAGTGCCATGCCTTCCTGTCACCCAAGAAGAAGATTGTAAGCACTTCTCTTTGGCTCTTGGCTCTTTGAGGTAAGGGTGGGTATGAAGCCCTTTCTTTTTCCCCTTCAGGGAAAGCAGACCCTTACTTCTGTGCCCCTAGCTGGAAACAGAGCCAGGGAATGCACGTCTCCTCACATAGTATAGAGGTGGATGGTGAGCAATAGGAGGTTCTTCTGTCCCAGTTCCTCTGGGATCTCCTCTTGGGAAGGATTGGCCCATATGAACAGACTGGCAGAGCACTGAGCCTTGGCCTTCCACATGAACTTTGCACAGGAGATGTGACAAGGGAGGCCTGGAGCACCTCTGTTCTTGGGCAGCACTATTGCTATGGCTTGGGGTGGAGATGGAAGTAGACATTTCCCCTCTTTTTTGTACACAGGCCCAGGCTGTGACTCTGACGGTGGCCCAGGCCTTCCAAATGGCACTGGATCTCTGGGAAGCAGCAAATGCAGGTAGGAGGAATTTCTCTGACATTTCCCTCTGCCTAGTCCTGGAATTGGGGTCTACATTGCTAGATCCTGTTTTGGGCTGTATGGAGGAGAGGTGGCTTGCTGCTTGGGTGGTGAAATGCACCAACCAGGGCACTGTCCTTGCTGTTGTGCTCTCTACTGCTTCCCCATGTGGGGAGCATGCCCTGTCTCTGGCTGGGGGTGTCCCTGCTATCCATGCTCAACTCCTCTGCACTGCTGAGCTATTGCACAGCTCAGGGCCCTGTGGGACCTGCCCTGAGCAGTGTCCCCCTCACCCTGCTCCCATGTTTGTTTGCACTGTCCCCCGAGCACAGCAGGGGCATCTGTCTCTTGCCCACAGTCCTGCCTGTACACCCCCTGCTGAGCCTTGTTCAAGTTCCAGGCGCTAACTCTGCTGCTTTTGCCCTGTCCCAGGCTCTAGGCAGGAACAGCCCCTTCACCCTCCATGTGTCTTGGAGCGCAGTGAGCCCAGCAGAGCAAGTGAGCCAGCTCCCCCGGGGAGCCCTCCCTTCAGACACCAGTTTGGGGTACAGTATGTGCAAGTCTGGCCCGTGCCCAGGTCTGTCACACGTTAGGGCAGGAGAAGAGTAACCCTTATGCAGCTCCCTCCTCCTGGTCTCTCAGGCTCCTGTTGGTGTCTGCACAGCCCCCCTTGTACGTGCGGGCCTGATGTGACAAGGAGCAGTCTGTGCTATGTCTGGCTCACAAGGCAGGAGTCTCAGGTGATCTTTGCTCTGGGAGCTCTGCTGTCAGGCCCAGCATTGCAGCAGCCAGCCCTGTTGCACAGGGAGCTGGGACCTGCTCTGTGTACTTGGTGCCATGGTTTGGGGTGAGACAGCCTCTCTCAAGGAGAGGAACTTTGTCTGGTCATCATCTTGCCAGCCTGGGATAAGGCTCAGCCCTGCCCATCTGCACAGCACCCACTGAATGTCCAGAGCCAGTCACAGCATTTCTAGTGTTGCAAGTCTCTGTTGTCATTGTGTCCCTGCCCAGGAGCCTCTGAATGCTTGCTTCTTGACTTCGTGCTTCCAGCATTGGCCCAGTCTGGCAGTGGTTGGGGCCATCGTTGCTTGCAGCGTGCTCCAGGTGGTTCTCTGCCTGGTCCTCCAGCTGGGACATGCTCACCCTGCTCCAGTCTCTAGGCAAAGGTGTGCTGTGTGCAGCAGCCATCTCAGCTTGGTGGCTCATCCCCAGTTCACGCCCTGTGTTTGGTGCTCTGCTGGCTTGGGGAATGTGAGGAGAACCTTGGTCTGTCTCTTCCCTTGTGTGGCTGTGTCTGAGCTCCAAGGATTTCATCAGCCCAGTACTGCAGGTGCCATTTTTCCCCTTCCTGCTTGTAGACGAGTCTTGTCCTTGTCATGCCTGGTGGGTGACTGTCTTGTGAAGGTGCTGGGGACAGCCCTGCTGCCCCAGAAGAGGCTCTGGGCATCCCAGTCTGGATCCTGGTAGAGACCTACTTTTCTGTTTGTTTGCTTGCTTGCTTGCAAGGAGGAGGAAGAGGAGGAGGAAGATGAAAACCTTGATGAAACTTTATCTGGGTAAGTGGTGAGCTGGTGCCTGTATGTAAGGAGCACTCTCGTGAGCCCTGTCTTGATTCCTTCTCCATGTCCCAAGCACGGGGTACTGCTGAAGCCACAAGTTTTGTGGGAGCTAGGATGAAATCTGTGGGGGAACTTCTGCTGTTTTCTCTGTCTCTGTCAGCTGAGGTTGGATGTACAGGAAGCTAAGGTATGGAGAGACAGATTTTGCAGTTCAACTCTTGCAGTGGGGGGTTGATACTTACCCTGAGGACATGAGTACAAGAGAGATCTCTGGGTATGTTTCTGCCACTCTTTGCTGAGGACAGCCTATCCAGATGTGCTTCCCATGTTGAGTCCAGAGCTGGCCCTTTCCTTCCCCTGATTTCTGTGGGCATAGGCCAGGTTGGATGCCCACTCATGCTGATGGTGTGGACTAGGAGCTGGGACTGAGCTTGGGAGGAGGTCAGAAGTGGAGGATTAACCCATAGGTCTTTGCAGAAGTGCCTGTAGTGATGGGTTTGCTGAGCCTGTTCCATTATGGCTGTTCTCATGCACCTGTTAAGCCGGTGCCTGAGGGGTCCAGCAATGTCAGCAGGCTGAGAGTGCTCTAAGTAGGGTCACCCAGGGATCAACGTGTGCAAAGTGTAAAGGTGTATATGTGTCCTTTTGATGTGGCCACTTGTTCCTGGGGGATTCTTGATGGGAAGAGACGTGGCTTTGCAGCATCAGGGCAGGATGGCCTGGGGAAGGGGTTTGGTAGCGAGTAGGTTAGGGCCTTCTGCAGTCTGAGTGCCTAGTACTGCTGGGTCTGCACTGCCAGGGTCATGAGCGTGGGTCTCTCAGCAGGTGCTTGCTTGGAGATGATGGGTGCTCTGTTCTCTTCCAAAGCTGCATGGAGGAGCTGGGGAGGGGAGCCCATGGACCAACAGGTAAGCTCTCCCTCCATGTTGCTTTTCTACCTCCCCCAGCGTGGCCTCGGCAGAGGGAGGAGGTTGATGGCTCTCTTGGGAAGGTCTGCTTCCCCTTCCTGTCCGTATTGGGTTCCAACCACAAATGTTATGGACCAGATCTCCCTCCCTTTTGCTTTTCAGAGTCGGTACCTCCTGTGCCCAGAATGAGCTCATCTGCTGCACAGCTGCCGCTGAGCTGGCCCCGCCTGGGGCAGCCCCCGGGCAGCCGGAAGGAGCCAGGAGGAGCTGGAGACCCCCCCACTGCTGGCCCTGGGACTGATTGCTCCAAGAACCCCCTGAGCTAAGCCACATCTCTGCAGCAACTGAGCAGCCACTCAGGATTCACCCTGTGCCTGCACCCAGGCCACTCAGCAGCTGCCCTGCTCCCAGGCACAGGGGCTGTTGGCACCGCTGCTGTGCAGCGCGTGGACTGTAATGCCCACTCCTTGTCCTGCTGCCCACCTGCATGAACCGCCTCAAACTGCAGTTGCTCCCTGCTCCCCTTTAAGCCTGATGGACTGGTGTTCGTTGCTCTGCCTGCTGCTGGTGCAGGTATAGCCACCCCACGTGCTCTGAGCCTGCGGGATGTAGGTGGTGCACCTAGGGCTGTGCTGATCTGACTTTGCTCCTTGTAGTGGCAACAGGGAGCAGCTGAGGCCGAGCAGCTCGCTGGGCACAGGGCTTGCTCAGCAAATTGAAGGTGCATATGACCCTTGGGAAGCCATAGCTCTTGGCCTGGAGGGGTCTCGCCCCTGCAGTTCAGCCCTGCACCCTCCCACGAGTGAAGCAAGCTGTTTTTGAAAGGAAAGCTCTGCATTTGTAGGGAAATAAACTGAGGGTTGGTTTTGTTTTTTTTTATTTTGTTTATAGTTGTCCATTTGCTTTTGAGTGCTCAGCAGGGGCCTTGTGCAAGCGTGTGAAGTGCTGTGTCCACTGTGCTACCTGCAGGAAGGCATAGCTGGTGCTGTGCCCCTTGGGGGCTCCATGTGCACCAGCAAATGTTTGCACAGCAGGAGCTGACAGTGGACCCTGCAGAGGCCGGAGATGGCATAATGTCCCATGTGTCAGCAGCTCTCTACCCATTTCAACCTTGTGCCTGCTCTGCTGCTGTTGTCCTGCTGCACTTGGTCTCTGGTGTGGAGGTATGGCCAGCAGGCTGCCTGGTTTCTCCAGCCAGGTTTGCAGCTGATTGCTATTCTTGCTGTGAATTATTCTGCTTCACCATCTCCTGCCACTGGGGAAGGCAGTGGGCTGTACCTGTTGCCTGGGAGCTGTCAGACTCCAGGCAGTGCAAGTGCCTCCATATCCCTGAGACATGAGGTTGCTGCAGTGTGCCTCTGCTGATGCTGCAGCCCCGTGTGGCTTCTTGCAGGACTTGGTGGGTGTCAGGTCAGCAGCTAATCCTGGGTTTTACCAGCTGCTGCAGTGAGTATCTTCCAGCTCCTTGTGTCAGCCTAGAACAGTTGCTGTGCCTGCTATGTATAACATGAGAGACATTGTGTTCCTTTTTTATTTGGCCACAGCTTTTGTATTCTGCTGTCTTCACCTGATGGGGAGAAGCACAGCCTCCTGCCAGCAGCCTGCTGAGCCCTGGCATCATCTTCCTTCAGCAGCTGCATGTCGTACAGCATGACAGGCCAGCCTGCAGCTCTGGTACTCTCTCAAAGGCCAGAAAGAAGTGCAGGATAGCCTTTGGGGACCTGCTGCAGAGCACGTGCTATCAAGAACAGGGCCATACACAGGAGTGCAAGAAGCGATTAGATGTGTGTGCCCCTCTTTTCCCCCCACACCTGCAGTACTGCAAGGACAACGCTGCTTTTGAGCCAGGATGCTTTTATTGAAAAGACCCCGCCACAGGGAGTTGCTTACCCTGTCCCTTCCCAATCCAGTCCTGCAGCAGGAGCTGAACAGCACCTGGAAGTGAGAGTCCTGAAAGTGCTTTGCTGGGAGGTTTATTCCTGGAAGACGCTGGATCCTGTGATGCTTGAGTCCAGGGCTGCAGAGCCAGCGCCTGACTCGGTGACCAGCCACAGAGCAGAGCACGGAGGGAAGAGCAGCAGCCAGGGCACCAGGCACGGCCTCTGTGGCAGCGGGGCTCCTTGTGTCACCCTGCATCCCCTGCCTCTGGCACGAGAACATCGCTGGCCCAGACCTCATCCTCGGATACAGCACACATCCCACCAATCCAGCCAGGCTGGCTGCATTATGCATGTAGTGCACGCTCACAGTGAGCCCTGACGGAGAAGTGGTAGAGCCACAGCAGTGTGCTGGCCAGACCCATTCCCATTGCTCTGTGAGCCTCGCCTCACCCACGGCACTGACGCTCCCTACCCTGCTGCAGCCCAGCCAGGTACTGCAGCAGCACTAACTCCTCAAGCTCTCATTTGTGTTTTTGTCCCCTGTGCCAGGGCGAGGTGTGGGAAGCCCCTCACTGCAATGATGGGGTGCAGTGGGCCCCATCCTCCAGCAGGCACTCGCTCTTACAGCCCAGCCCCCCTGCCTCCTTGCCTTGACCTCACTGGCAGCTCTGGGGCCAGCACCTGCACTGCGCCCTCCACTCAGCCTCGGAGCCAGAAGGGTGCAAATCCTTCCCCCCCCAGCACAGCAGAGAGAGCCAGGTCTGCCCCAGAACATCTCCTCGGCAGGAGTCTGGTGCCACACAGCTGCACCACAGCCTCTGGCCAAGCCTGGGCTCTGGGATGCTGCCTCCCACCGGGGCTGTGTGCAGGATAGGGCAGCAGCCCCTCTGCTCCCCTACAGGCTGGTGGCATACCCCCACTCCATCGCTCAGCTCCACACTCCTTAGCGGCAGGGAAGCGGGGCCAGGCATACATGCACGGCCGGGAGCCAACTCCATGCACATCCCCAGACAGGTGCCCTTGGGAAAGCGTAAGTTCGGATACGTGGATCTTCGCATGCAGAGTTCCAGGCTGGCTGCCTGGTGCTGCCTCCTCTTCCAAGGCCTGTTTTAGCTCTGACGTGATGCCCAGGAGCCCAGATGCAGAGCTGGTGCTGCACTTACACCTCGATTATATTGACAGAGGGAGACTTCTTCTATGGAAGAAAAAAAAACACATTTTGAGGCTACGCTTTATGGAGACCTTGGGATGGGAAATCTGGAGGAGGAAAGAGAACTTGGCCCTCAAAGTCCTGGAAACCAAGGAGACATAATCAGGCCAGTGGGCAACATGTGAATGGAGTTTGCACGATGAATAGAGACGGCAGATGAGACCCAAGGGAAAAAACTACTGCAACATCCCATTAGAGCAGGTTCTGTCAGAGTTATAAATCAGTCTTTGTTGAGTAACAAAGAACAAGGCAGGCGCTGACCTCTCTGAGATGCAGAAGAGGTGTAGCCTCTATGTGGGGTGGTGATGGGGCATGCACTGGCTGTGCAGTGAGAGGACAGCTACCATCCTGCAGTATGGGAGCCATCCCAGCAGAGGTGTCCTGCCATCACGATGGGTGTTTCTCCTGCACTCACACATGGGGCACACAGACTGCCCCAGGGCTCACTGCTAGTCCTCGGCTTTTGGGGTGAGGACACAAACTGGGGTGTTTTCTGTTTCTGGAGAGAGGAAGAACCTGTCCAGCCACTAAGGCACAGCAGATGTTACATGCCAGCCCTTCTGTCAGCCCTCCCCCTCACCTTGCTCCGCAGCAGTCCTCCAGAGGGTCGCTCTGGAGTGCTGTGCTCCGAGGATGGCTTTGTCTTCTCCTTGTTGTTGTTGGAGTCGTTGTCCTTGATGATGTCATACTGTCTGCAGAAGAGGGCGATCACAGCTGCAGAAAGAGGAGGGATGAAGGACTCCCTCGGGGCTGCCCCCTTCTCCCCTCCCCGTTGTCACAGTGGGAGAGCAGCCAGGCCCAGGGGTTGGGGTGATGGTTGGACTTGATGACCTTAGAGGTCTTTGCCAGCCTTAACGATTCTATGAAAATGGAACCAGAAGCATCTAGAAGAACCAGTGCCAACGGTCTTGCAAGGAAGGAGGATGCCAGGGCCATGCCAGCATTCCTCTGCACTCTCTGAGCCCCATCCTCTCTGTGGACCCAAGACTGTGCCTCTGTCCCAGCCTGCTGGAATGCTGTTAGTGGCACTCACCTGCCCACATGAGCAGCACGGCCACGATGATGATGATCTCTCCTGTCTGCAGTTGCCTGTCTTTATCCAGCCCTTCCATGGTGATGTCACCTGTGGAGAAGAGCAGCCGGCCAGGGCTGGCACTAATCACCCTCCCAGCAGAACCCACCTCATAACCAGCATCATTCAAGGATCTGAGGAGCTACAGAGAGAGGCCCACTTCCCCCTGACAAACAAATGTTGACTGGGAAGAAGGCATGCAGCCTACGGCTTTCCATAAAGACCCACGCTGCACATCATCTCTCTTGGATTCACGGCCAGCATTTAGGCAACCCCAGGCAACAGGCACAGCGTGGCTGCGAAGTGGAAAGGAGACGGCCCCACGAGTGGCACTCGGGCAATGCCTCACCTTGGTTGGAGCTGTTGGAGGGGAGGCGGTCGGTCTCCTTCAGAGTCCGGAAGTGGACGCGCTTGCTGGCCTGACTTTCCCCATAGAGGCCGATGCTCTGCACCTGGATGATGTAGTCGGCATCTTCTGCCAGGTCCCACAGCACGCAGGCCCGGTTGGTGGTGTTCACCTCCCGGATGAAGCGCTGCATCTGACCATCCTGCCGCTGCCAGAGTGAAGAGCTGTCATCCCTCAGGGAGTTGATCCCAGCTGCACCCTGCCTGCAGGGCTCTGCTGAGTGCAGTGCCCTCACTCCTCCCTTCCCAGGCAATCCTCCACCCCTGGGGTGGGCCGGCACCTCGCTCCGCAGCATCTCTGTGCGGCCAGAGGGACCCCCGGGGACACGGCCTGGGTACCTGCTGTAGGATGGCATAGCCGATGACCACGTCTCCTTCTGGCACATCCCAAGAGACGGTGGCAGAATTCGCCTTCAGCTGTGTCACA